TATAATTACTGGTATAGAAAAACAATGAACTCTGAAAAGAATTAATATTTTATTCAACAAAAAAAACTTTTTGTGTAACACATAAAGCATATTAAGGGCCGCCGACTTACCTATTTTAAAGTATAGTTAAATCGTTAATGGATAAGATAACGGGCCAGAAACGTAAGGAACATACATAGACATATGTTTACTTGCCTTAAAGTTAAATTCATGAAAATCATAAAAAAAAAATTAATGTCAATGATGAATAAATTTTGAAAATAGCTAAAAAAGGGCTAGGGGCAATTTCAAATTTTTGTGGCCAAAAAAAGAATTTGGTAGCCAAATTTAGCCACCAAAGGGCTAAAACGGCAACACTGCTCATAAGTGATTTTGCATTTGGCGGATACGAGGCATTGCGCGCCAAGCGACGATATGTACCTCTGTGGTGAACACAGAATATGTATTTCAGACAGAAGCAGTGAACATGGGGTGCATGCGAGGACATACATATATATAAATATGTAAATATGTATGTACCACAAATTTCATCTCTCAGTGTACGTTGGGTATAGTGACTTATTTATATTCTTTAAATATTTGCTTAAATAGGCACGTACTTACATATGTATAAATGTAAGTATATCTAAAATTTGGCAGCCGCATTTTGACCATCCACCCGTGAACACACACATTATCTGTGTTTACTAAATCATAGACTTAAATAAGTATGTCGCAGAGGTAGGTACGTATACATAGTAATATACATACATATATATGTTTACTGGGGTGTTCCATAATTCGCCTTTTTTCCTTAACCGGTTTTCGAGTTATTCGAAAATTTGCTTTTTGAAAAAAGCGTTAGCCTATGAGGAAATGAAAAAAGATCGGATACAGCGATTTTATTTTACATAGTTTTCATGCAGTGCTTCTTATTTACTGATGCTTATGTTGATATGAAGTCATGGCCAAAAATTACAATAAAACTATTAACAGTAAATATGGCTTTTATTAAAAAGAGAGAAATTCGCCTCACAACCGCAATCAGCAGAACACGAATCGGAAGAGAAGGGCTCGGCAAAACAAGTAAATAGAAAACGTTTAAGTGGCAAATATTCATTTATTGGATTCAAATACTGTTCATCCTCAAATAACCTAGGATATAATTTCAAAACTATTAAACCAGAAAAAGCCTTGTAAACTTCGAAAAACTAAACACTTTTATTGAGAGGTCAAGATTTGATTGAAATGACAAAATCAGTTCGTTGGATAAAAAATCTGGTTCACATGATTTTCGAAAAATCGTGATTTCAAACAAAAAAAAAAGTTGGAAACCGGTTTCGAAAAACCGAGTTAATCATCCTCTAATGCATACACACATACATAGCATGCTCTGACTGCATTTTAATATACGAATATATGCAGCTATATGCTTGCATAGAAACTGCCACTTGACTGCGTTTGTAGGTTAAACCGCGGTGCTTGCAAGATTCCAAAAATTTTTCTCTTTGTATTGTCTGGCATTATTTCACTTTCTGCAGCTGCATTAACCTTTTTTGTGCTATTTTGTCGTTATCTTGATCATTATTATATACATATTTTTAAAATATTTCGGCTCGAAAAAAATCTCAATAGAGTAAGAGTCATGTAAGCGTGTTTTGAAAAAGATGAAAAACCTTTACAGGCAGTGGCGTAGACAACTCCGTGACGTAGGGGTATTGATTATAATCATAAGGGTTGCAGTATCTACGCTTGCTGTTAACTAGTTACTTTTCTTTGAAAGTGGTCCCCACTAGTCTTTTGTTATGTATTTATATTCATTTAAGTTGAAAGAAATCAAACTAATCACAATGTTTAAATAAGGTTAGATTATTTAATGATATTAAATGATATGGAATTTTTGCTAGGTCTATGTATAGGTTATATATTTACTTTTCGGTAGACAAAAGCCTTGGGGGGGGGGGGGGTCGAGTGACTGGTGAGTATTCCCAAATAATTTTCTTTTGAAAAGTGCAGCTTTTGCTGCTTTTTTTGCTTTTCATTTCCAATCCAATCTCCAACTAGCCAACTTCACAGACTTGAATAGGTGTAAAGCATTGAAATAACCAAAAATGATTGTGGGTGAAATAGTTTCAGATATATCACTACATTCGTCGGAATTTTTTTTTTTTTTCATCTACGTATACACAGGTGTGCGTACACTAGCATACAATATACATATGTACACAGTGGAATGCTTCCCTCGCCGTCAGCCATCGTTCAACATATTAATTAAAATGAAAGTCATCACTTTAGCTACCGATATATCTGATGATGCCGATGTCGCCAATGCCGATGATGAAGCTCTGGCGGATTGGTGGGCGGCGTTTGTCGCCCACACAGCATATCACCATTTCCACTAACACTTCCGAGGATAATATGAAGAATTCCTTTTTTTAACTTTTTTGTGTATATTTTTTTTGATATTTTTTTTTGCATTTTTGTTATGGCTTCACTTTACTCGCCGGGGAGTTGCTGCTGCATTAAATTGCACCAAATGTAATTGCGATACACACACACACACACACACAATATATACATCGCTGCACATACATAAATAAATATATGCAGGCGAGGATGCCAGAGTGGCAGGTTGAGCGGCGGCTGGATAGTGGCACGGCTGGCTGCGTGGTGTGGCATGAATATTTTGCGCTCGCTCATCTGCCGTCAACACGCCGCTATGCAATACATTTTATGAAGCACACAAATGCAAATACATAACGTTCTTATGACGGCTGGCATTACTTAATGTGGAAGACAGTGTATCTGTGTGCGCGCCAAGCGATTTTGCGGAAGTGTGAAAAATGTTGATACGAACTTAAGTGGAGAGTAGTTCAACCTTATTTGCTAACACATATCTACTTATATGTAGATATGTAAACATGTGCTCATACGTACACACACGTATACTAACAAATACATATATGCAGTCAATTAGTAATGAGTTGAAATGAAAATTATTTACAGATCTTAAGTGTGCGGATTGGCATGAAAAAAAAGCATATAAATATGCATATATTTATTTTGAGAGGATTTTGGAGACAAAAAAATTTTCATCCTTGGTGAACACATCTACTAAACTCTTATATTTATGATATTTGGTTTCAAATTGTAATATATCGTTAAAAAGCCATTTTTGAAAACTATAAAACTTTATGAAACCCCACCTCCTCACGTAGCTCCTTAGCCTACTAAATTCTAATAACTAATTTTTTACCCGTCGGTAATTTTTTCCAGTCGGAGTGTAAAACAAAAATTAATAAACGGAAAAGTAAAAGCGATTTGAAATTTCTAATTTAATCGGACTAAATACTGATGATGATTTATGTCTAACCCAGTAATCAAGCATCAAGCAGAATTAGGATCGCTGTGGACGTATGTTATTTTTTAAACTCAACCCGAAAAGGCTGCCGGTCTACCTAACTTACTCGTTTGCCATGGCGTATGAGTTATCTATCAAGATACCATTTACTGGTAATTCTATCAACTGTCATTCGACTCACCACAGTCTTTCGAAAGACAAAAGCCTCGTAAGATAATATATCAAAAAATTAAAAGAAAATTAAATAAAAAAAAATATAAAATTTAATCAAAAGAAGATAACAAAAAAATTTAAAAATTTAATCACAACAAAATAGAAATACGAAAACAAAATAAATTTATATAACTTAAATTACATATAACAAAACATATGTTTCTTTTTAAATAAATGAAATCTAACAATTAAAAGAAAAAATACGTTCCTAAAAAATAAATGGAATTACAAAAAAAATATGGCAAGCTAAAATTAAAACACAAAAAAGTAAATAATCAAGAAAAAAATGAATAATTATAAGTTTCCAAAAATCAAATGGAATGAAAAATATTTCTGGTTTTTAAACAATGAAATCTAAAAATTTAAAGTAGAAAGAAAAAGAATACCAATAAGAAAATAAAACTATTTTCTAAAATTAAACGAAAATAAAAAAGAAATTTGTTTCTTTTTAAAACTATAAAATCCAAAACTTAAGAAAAAATTAAAAATACGTTCCCCTAAATTAAATTAAATTAAAAAATATATTGACCTTTTTAAAAGAATATACCTATGTAATCTTAAAATTAAAAGGAAATAAAACAAAAACACCAATTTCTAATGTTTCTAAAAATTTAACGAAATAGATAATATTATTCTTTTTTTAATAAAATCTAAAATTTTATTGAAAACAAAATTAAGACAAGTTTATAAAACTTGAATTAAAAAAAAAAAATATTTTAATTTTTAAAACAAAATCTACAAAATTAAAAGAAAATAATTTGAAAGAAAAATTTATTGAGAATAAGAAAAAAATACGTTCCTAAAAATTAAATTAAATAAAAATAAAAAATAAAAAATTTCACTATTGCTATTGAGCATTGTACCACGATTATGTTATTTAGGAAAAATGGAAAAAGCAATAAAGTCTAAGCGGTTGTTAAAAGTCCTACATTGAAGATGCCACAACGCCGAAACCGGTTTGTCTGCAAACCAAGCTTGACAAGAGATGACGGAAATTCGTTTCAAAATAAATCTTTCAATTATTTTGCCTACTATCTTTCAATAGTTTCGCAAAAGATATCTTAGGCAGAATTACCTGTTAATTCGGTGGAAAAACTTGAAAAATTTGAGGCGCTGTAACTTTTTAGTTTATTCATATTTGTTACGTTTTAAAGGAAACAAATGCATCGCTTGATGTTATTAGAATTTAGTTACTCTAAGTCGATGGAGTATAAGAAAAATACATGGCTTTTTATAGCTTTCTTATCACCCTTATTTTTCAGTATATTTTATTATTGGAGACTGCAAGAAAATTATGACCATATAATCAAATAATCGCATAACCATTACGGCGTAAAAATCTGCGGCAGTTTTAATTTATTCCGCTCATTCCCACTGTTCGACGTAAATAATGCAGGTGTTCTTTTTTTTTTACTTTTTCTGATGTAAAGTCGCAGTAAATACTCACCGAGTTTCTATAATAAAGTGCGTCACTGGTGCATTTCGTGGATGCTGCGAATGCGCCCAAGAAAGATTCACAGAACGCGATGTGAAACTTATTAAGAGTGGGCGCTCAGGAGGATCGGGAACATCTGTAAAATATAGAAACAAAAGGCAGAGTATTAATTACGACTTTTCAAAAAAATTATAGCAGTAGTAGTATATTTATTTGATCATTTAAATTTGTATAATAATAACAATAATATTATACAAACAAAATAAAGAAGAAGTTATGACAATAACATTATGTGTTGTGTTTCAAGCTAACCGCTAACTAATTAAAAACAATAACATTGCAAGCTATGAAAATTCATTTATAATCAGGTCCTTAATTTTAATGCTATCCATATTTAACACAATTTTTGAATCACATCCATTTAATGCAGCAACCACTTTAGCAATATTCGGAGTTTCATTATCAAGGAAACGAGTCCTAATATTACTAAAATAAATCTTACGGTACGTCCATATTGCACGCTGGGCAAACTTAAGAGGATACATTCTTATAAGCTCTGGCACTGAGGTTCAGAGGACCTCTCGCGGAAATTAAGCTGACAGGATGGGCACTGTATTCGTTGCTGAAATATGTATATTTTATCTAAAGGGATCAGATGTTGGTATAAAATATTCGTTGTTGATTTTTTTGCTTAGGCTCTCTGAGAGCGAGAATGTGAAAAAAGTAATATATAAACTTATATAAGATTGTTAAGCTGGGTCGGCGAAAAATATTTTTAACCAACACAGACACATGATAAAACCGTAGGTAAAAATTGCCCAGCTTTCCCAACACTTTCATTTGAAAAGGTGGTTTTTATAACTATGTATCCCCTTACCTGCATGTCGCTCATACACGTTTGACAATCACATAAACATATATGAAAAAAACTGTCGACTAAATTCAAATCAAATCTATATGAATAGTCATTTTGCACACATGAACATGTCAACACAACCCAATTTGCCAAACGACTTCGTAGCAACGTCGTTTCCGAATCGTTGTGGTGAACAATTTCTTCGCCGGAGATGTTCACTAACGACTCGCTGGCGAACTCGCCATCGGATGAAAAGCACAAATCGCCGGCGGGCCGCAAAAACGATGCCTAAAAGAGACGCATAAAAAAAGCTTCAGGCAAAAGAAAGACTTGTTAACCTATTTTACGTCGAAGAAAGATGCGTAAACTTATTTTGGCGGTCAACCGTGTGTGCGAGTGTAAAAGTATGCAAATTCTCCAAAGAGTTTTTACTGAGGTGATGCCGAAGTGGCAATCTATGTATAGGTATAAATCTACGCTAACGCGTCTTTCTGCGTCGAAGTTTTTCTTCGCCGCCTTTTTTTGTCAAATTTTTGTACGCGTATTTTTTCGCCATCAAAACGATGGCGCGCCTTTATTCGTGTCTAGTGACGATATATAGTAGATATGTATATAAATATAGGGTGCGCCAAATATTAACTGCCAATGTTAAACACGAAATTCTAAAATTTCAGCACGTTTATTGATTGCGCCCAAATTTTTTGCGAGTTGCAGATAACGATGATTCAATCTTCCCCATATTTAACTTTAGGTTTTTCTAATAAAACTGGAGTACATACTAAATTTCATCGAAATCGGGTGAAAATTAATGTCTCCGCCCACAAGAGTGGAGGGCGTGGCAACTAGCTAATTTTTACCAGATTTCATAATTCTCTATTCATCAAGTTTTAGAAAATGGGCGCGCGTTAACTATTCTTTCCACATCCATGATATATATATATACACTCAAGAAAAATCACAAGAAATATTTTGGATTAGGTCGCTTTGATCAACTTTTAACTATTATTATTAAATTTTGTGTAGTATTTTATAAGATCAACTCACCATGCACCAGCAGATCTACTATCGCCTCCGGTATGTGACGATCATTGACTAAGCAAAAGTACTCTGCCGTATCGGTGGCGATGGCTGGATTAAACTGCAACCCAAAATTATCCGAGAGCAGTTGTATCTGGAAAGAGAAATCCAAAATGAGATATGTAGGTTTCTTTTTCATTTTAAACAATTAAAGGTAACCAAAAATTTGTGATCCTTGTCTTTGATTGAAATTTGTAATGAGCTTCAAAAATTTGCTCCCCTTTTGACTGCACTCTACTTAAATTCGCTTCCTTCAAGCAAATGTATTTTTGACTCCTTTAAGGGACCAGTTTAAATTATTAAAAATTTTCTTTAGTTTAGTAAAAATTGTGTGTAATACTAAAACAAAAAACAAGCCAAACACGCAAAAATTCATAAAAGTTTCAAGTGCTGCACATAAACTATGTAACACTTATGAACGCCCACCGAGCAAAGTTGCCGTTCTAATTTCCTAAAGTGAAAGAATGTCAGAAAGTAAGCAAAAAACCGGCAGCACCAGCAGTGCGTTTCTAACTGCACAAGTTCGAAAACTTTGCATTGCCTTTGAAATTAATTAATTAATGTCAAGTAATTTTTCATGCATTCCCCCACTCACTATGCCATGTGTGTAAGCGTGTGCGCATGTGTGCTAGAGTTTGCCTGCGCGCGACTACGATAATAATTTCATGCAACTACTCGCAAAGCCACAATTGCACTTTTTGCCGACGTAGGCGCCGCCGCGCCGACTGCTCTTATCCTTAATTATGCAGCCGAGCACACTTTGCCAAGTAGCAAATTTAATGTGAAAACCAAAGCCAAAGCCAGAGCCAGAGCCAGAACCAGAACCAGAGCCAGGGCTAGAGCCATAACCAAAGCGCCAAAGTAGGCAACCAAATCAAAAGCTGGCAAACAAGTAAATTGCAGCGGGAAAATGATAAGGATTGTCGAGTTTCGCAAACTTGCAAGCAAACTGTACGCGTTTCTTTTTTTTTTTTGTGCTGTTCTGTAAATGAGAAAAATATGAGTGCTTATATTTGCCAGCTGCACCACGCTAGTTATGCGCCTTCCTTTAGTTGGCTATTGAAACGGCATTTGTCGTACGGCCTTGAATGCGGCAAGCAGGCAAGTAGCATTTTAAGTTATGTAAGGCTGTTTGTGAGTTTGTGAAAATCTGTGTTTGTCACTTGCAGGAATTCGTAAACTCAAAAAGTTTACCGGAAAGAGTAAGTAAAAGACTTTGAAAAAATAAACTATTTGAGGCTGCCTTGAAAGTGGCATGGCATGCCTTCGCTGCATGACTTGGTTGCACGCCTCGCTTGCTAACTAGCTGACTAGACTGCCTGCTTGACTGGGCTTGGTCAGTTAGCTCAATGTTTGACAGAATGGTTGAGGCTATCTCGTTGCTTATAAGCTACTAGCATACAGACAGTGCTAGACCATTTTAAGAGCCATTCGAAGTCGTCGAGTGTGGAGCTGTGGGTGGAGAAAATGCAATGGCAGCCGAAGCGTAATTTAGAAATTATGTGGCGCGCGTATTCTCAACTCGCTATCTTAGTGCGCTATTATACACATACATACCTATTATGTGTAATAGGGTGGAGCGAAAAAAATTATTTTATTAAAAATTATTAAATTTTTCGATTTCGAAACTCTAATAGTGCGAAATAGTTGCGCAACAAGATCATAACCTTACAGGGCAGTTCTGGCAAAGATCGTTCAAAAGAATTTTGTTATTCTAGCACAAAAGTCTTGGACTCTCTCATTCACTTCGCGTGGTGAAAAGCTATTTTGAGAGAAATCCATTGGTATATCACTTAACTCGCGTGCAACAGTCGCAATGGCGGAGTGGACAAAGCACAGGCCAACAATAGAGAGATCCGAATTCGAGTCTTTGCAGAGCGTGTTTTTTTTTCTCTTTTTTAATCAACATTTTTTTAACTTAATTTTACAGAGTTTTAATTAAATTTAATTTTAAGAAACGTATTTTAAGTAATTTTTCTTTTCTAATGATTTTTCTTTATTTAATTGTTTTTAAGGGTTTAGTTGTTATTGTTTAAAAAATAATATTTTCTAAATTTCATTTAATTTTTAGGAACTTATTTTATTTTTGCTTTTTAAAATTTTATTTTTTTATTTTTTTAGTTATTTTTTTTTTAATTTTTGGATTTTATTGTGTGAAAAAGAAAATCAATTTTTTTACTTCATTCACTTTGTTTATTTGTGCTTTTTATAGTTTTTCGTTTTTTATAGTTTAATTTGCTATTCTTTTGTTAATTTCATTTTCTTTTTAACCCACTTCGGAGGGAATATTTTTTTTTATTTTTATACCCGAGCGCACTTGTGCACAAGGGTATTATAACTTTGTTCACATAACGGTTGTTTGTAACAGGCAAAACGAATCGAGATAGATATAGACAAATGTATACATAAATGATCAGAATGAAAAGAGAAATCGATTAAGCAGTGACTGTCTGTCCGTCCGTCCGTCCGTCTGTGCACACGATAACTCGAGTAAAAATTGAGATATCTTAACGAAACTTGGTATGTGCACTTCTTTCGGGCGTAGGACGGATGGTATTGAAAATGGGCGAAATCGGACAATAACCACGCCTACCTCCCATATAACGGTAATTTTTAAAAATACGAAAACTGCGATATTTTAGTAACTACTGAAGATTATTCACTCAAAATTGATATTTGCAATAATTTTTAGACAAAAAATAAGAATATTATACATTTTTGGAAAATGGGCGTAGCCACGCCTACTTATGGTTACATGTGTATATCTTGGTAACCGCTGCACCAATTTCTTCCAAACTTGGCACAGTTGTTGGTCCTACTACAACATACCAAATGACCGAAAATTTTTAAAATCGGACAATAACCACGCCCACATCCCATATAACGGTAATTTAGAAAAATACGAAATCCTCGATAAATCAGTAAATATTAAAGCTAATTTATTCAAAATAGATGGTTGCAACAATTTTTTACCAAGAAATACGCTTATTATACAATTTTGGAAAATGGGCGTGGCACCGCCCACTTATGATCACATATATGTATCTCGCTAACCGTTCTAGCAATTTGAACCAAACTCGGTATGGTTATTGTGCTTGCCACATAAAAGCAAAGCGTTGAAAATTATTGAAATCGGACTAAAATTACGACCGCTTTTCATATAACGGTATATTTCAGAAATGCTTGAAACTGCAATATTTCGAAATTTAAGGACGCTAATTTACTTAAAATTTATACACCCCGGCTTATCGTGTAGCGGTAGCTTTCGGAAAGGTGGAAAACATATATTTAATAATTGCGCCGGGTATTTAATGTTCGGCTCCGCCCGAACTTAGACTTTCTTACTTGTTTTCATGTACGTTAACGTATAACCTTGGATCACGTTAACAGATTTCTATAATTCTTTCTATTTATAGGAAAAGTGGTACCTCAGAGGTGGTCTCATACTAATTAGGTTTAGATCCGATCAATAGATTGTGTATATTGTATTGAGCGTTGAAAGCCATAATACCTAGAAGGCTTGGTGCGGATTTCTACTTACTTTTAATGTTTCGAAAAATCTCTCACTTTTTGAATTTGCAGTTTTTAGCCCATAAAATTTTAATAAAAAAAGTGCTGCCCATTTTTTGTTTTGTTCGACATCTTTTTTATATACCCTAATGTATATATGCCATTGCATGCACCAATGCATGTGTCATGTGTGCCTTAGCGCGACTTAAGCTTACTGCCGGATGCGCATATGAGTGCGCTAGTTAACGTCGAGTAGAAAGCTGTTAGCGTAATTGATGGCAGAAATCCGTCGGTGAAGCAACCAGCCATGTATGTACATATGTATATATGTATGTACTCTCGTTGTTCTGGCGTACTTATGCTTTGCGCCTTTTTGCCTACTTTCGGCATTACTTTAAGTATGGAATATGTACATATGTATGTATGTGTGTAGGTACGCTCGCGTATAGCTTGCTCTACAGACGTGCTCTCTACTTGCAACGGAAATGTGCTTGTATTTGTATCCTTCCACAATTTTAATGCTCATCATTACAGAAAATGGTATAAAAGTTTCGGCCTCATTATTACCTTGGCTTATTTTCATTGTTGCTCCCGTGCCACCTACTGCCTTGCGCTTTCTCACAAACCAGCTTCTTGCCCCTTTACTAACTACTAGTAGCTTGAACAGTTTTAAAAGTGCACTGGGGAATCGCACTAGCTACATAGTTATTGGCGTGTCTTGGCAGCTACTCTCAGTGCCATTGCATTTAATTTTTTACACACACATACACATACATATGTGTATGTATAATTTAGTAATATTTGGTTTGCATGTTATGTGGCAAGAATGTGTTAAATAGCATGCTGGGACACTTAAAATTTTAACCAGAGTAGTCAAAGTGGGCTATGCTCCACCACAATTGCAGGGATAGATTGCAAGCCACCGCTGCTTAGGCCACTTTCCAAGTTCTCTCTGTCGTTTTGAGCTACATACTTATGCATACTGTAACTCCCTTACCAGCTGTACTGCGCCGCTGTTCGCTTTAAAAACTTTGAACTTTTGAGTCATTTCGATTATTTTACACCAGCAGCAGCAGCAATGGCAACTTTGCCTATAACATTTGCCACTACCATGCTCGTCGTCTTTTGAACTTATGTACATACATACCCACCATACACATTTTACATGCAAGCGCGTCTTCTCACCTTGCTTTCTCTTTTCCTACCGTCCTTCCGTCCGTCTGCACTTCCCTACGTGCATGCTCTAGGCGGATCGCTTTCTTTTTCGACCTCTAGGGAAGCTATTAACTTTTGTTTTATGGACTAAACTAATGATTTGTGTACATGGCGTTGGTGAGCTGCCGCATGCCGACACGGCGCCTGAATTGCTGTCAACAGCTTAGCTTGCGAGCAGCGGCAGCAGGAGCTTAGATCAGGAAGAGTCGGCTGGTGTAAGGTGTTGCCTTAATGCTATTTTACAAAGTTACTAGGTAAACTTACAGCTGGTATTAGTTGACAGCCTAGAATGAGGTATGTATATCCACAGCGCACTTGATTTAGTGGCATAAGTGGGAATCACACATGTGTGAAACTATTTATGTATGTACATATGTTAGCATGTGGTTAAGAGATTTTGCAGTTGTGTGGTGACTGTAGATATGATATGAAAAAATGTTTGTAAATATCCTACTCACACTTCAAAATATATTTAATTAAATAATTAATGATGATGCCAGCATTTGTCTAACGAGAAAGGAAGCCTCGACATCGAAGAGCTGTTATCGCCAACCGATTCTCATACCTGCTATTAAACCGATAAAATTATGCCAGTAGCGGAAAGAATGCATAATTATAAGCGCACCACTCATTAACTAGTTTTAACAATACATTTTTTTCCTACATAATTTAAGTTATTTTTTACGAAAATATAGCTTATTATTTAAAAAAAATCCCATTTGAATCCAAGTCAAATACTTTGTGCAATATTTAAAAAAAAATTCAACAAGCTTTCGTAAAAGCTTCAAGCTTTTCAATTCGACTTCATAGAAAGATCGTGAGTAATTAATTTTGTAGCCAATTTAATTTTAGTTCAATGAATGGCAAAATAAGTAAATTGGACTTAGCAAAGATTTTTGGGATTTTATTTTATTTATTTTTTTTTCAAAACCCCGCCTCAAGTGGGTTATATATCTTGAAAAGGAAATATTTTAGAGCTAAATTTGTTAAAGCATGAAACTGTTGATTTTTTTTTAAGTTTTAATTCAGACAGGCGAAAAACAGCGTTTGGCATAAATTCTATTCTTTGGAAGCCTAAGTAAGAGTCCCTAAAATTTACAGAAAAATCTAAATTGCGTTCGCGACTTCAATTAGGCGATTCCATATGAAACGACTCATACTCGTAAAATGCCCGCCCTATGGATCAATATTACCGTTAGATAATTTTTTATCCTGAGTAAACGAAAAAGGTAGGTACTGGCCATAACTAAAGAAAATACTAAAAGTCCGAATGTATGTATTATATTTGTACTCGAACTTCTCACTTCACGTAGTATTTTGTGGCTACAATAATATCAACCTAACGTAAGTTAATACCTCAATTTAGCTTAAGGAATGCAAAAATCTTATAAATTTTACTAAAATATATAAAAATATAGAAAAGTAAAATAAAAAAATTTTAAAAACTAATACGCATTCATTCACACAAAGCTGCAGGAAAAATAGGGCATAGCCAAAACAATTTTACTTCAAAAATTTAATAACATTTTACTGAACGCAATTTGCAGCATGTATGTTTGTACGTATGCAGTAAAATTGCAAATATTTAGCTACATATGTAAGCAAGTAAATTTCTAAATAAAAAATCCTAATTATTTTTTTGTTTACCAATACATTTGTTTTTTTTTTTAAACACAATGGCTTTGGTATGCTTGCCCTATATACATAGGTATGCAGTTAAACAATTATGTGATTTTGTTTTTGTTTTTAAAAGTGTGCTAACAATTGCAAGCCTGAATTTTTAGATATATTACATACTCTACACACAGTGCTAAGGCAACATTTAAGTGAAATATTTGGCTCCTAAAGGCATATGAAAATCGTTATTTAAAAAAAAATTGTTCATTTCTAATGTTTGCTTAATAACACAAGCCTGTGTATGTATGTACATTAGACCGTACCGCCGTAGAAGATAATACAAGTGAGTTAAAAATTCTTTTGCAAGGTAGTTGGTATTTTTTTGTCTGAGAATGTGTTCTGGTGTTTCCTCAGCTCACAGAAGCGTCAGACATTTGTTTTTGAAAGGTTTAATTTAACTGAGTTGATAGCGAAGGGAGCAATGTCCCAGTGAGAGTTTTTAGGTCTTCGCTGCCTAAGTTGAATAGCTTTTTTTTGTGAAGCTTCTTTTGAAGGGCAGAGAAATGGTTTGGCTTGTCGCTGCCCTGGACATTCAATCCAGTGCCTGTTGAACATTTTGTCTGCCCAGTTATTTATGATCACCTTTATGTGTGCTTTGGTGAGCCCACAAAAGTGTTCCGGTCTGGACCATTAAATACTGCGGTAGCTCCTTGCTTCGCTAGGCAGTCAGCCTCCTCGTTGCCATCATGTCCCTCATGCCTCACGCTCCACGAGCGTTTAGAACATTAAAGCAATCATATACTAGCTGGGAATTTATTTGTGGGACATCAGGGATGTGCCTCTTCTAAGGCATTCCCTGCCATAAATTTCAATTGCATAAATCTGCGCTTGAAAGATGTTTGGGTAGCTATCCATTGGTATCGATTTTTTGACGTTCGGTCCAAATATACCAGCGCCAGTTTTACATTATCAGATCAGAAGTGTTTAGGTTTCTTAGTACCGCGGTGGCCGCCTCTATTTCTATTAAACTAGAAAAGGAAGGTATTCCAACCAAGGCGCTGAGTACATCAGCATGGCAGGTCTTCATCGCCCGTCTAATGCCAATCTAAATCATTCGGTGCAATTTACTTAGTTTTGTGCTTGCAGTCCTTTGTGTAGCCTTGGTCCACCATGCTAAGGATGCATGGATAGAACCCATTTATTTATTATTGGGCCTATACATACCCTTGCTCATCAAGGCACCATCTATTGCCTTATAAATATGATGTGTTATCAAAAGCTTCCGAAATGTCAATAAAGGCACAAAGGGCTATATTTTTAGACTCTAGAGCTTTCTCAATTTTTAAGGTGGGGCTATGAATGGCAGTCTCAATGGATTTGCCTGGCAAATTGCTCCTTGTTCAGAGGCTGTTCCCTTAGGTTGACTTCTCTGATATAAAAGATTAGCGCTTACACATATCATCACAGGGGTGTACGGCGAACTTTTTTTTCCGGTACAATCTAATGTACATACATACAAGTTGTGAGCTACATACGTATCCACGTAAGTTTGGTTGCGTATCTGCTGGCTTATCAACAATTCAGGAATTTATCCTTAGAAACTTAAAACCTGAATAATATTTCTGGTAAACAAAAATCGAAAAAAAAAAATCAAATAATGAAATTACAAACGAATGTGCATACAATTTTTAAAAATCTTTCTCATATTTGTTAAAATTGGAGAATTTAGCTTAAGACACGAATTTTAAAAGCGCATTTGCGTGTTTGCTTTTGAGGAGCTTAATAGATGGTGTGCATAAATCCGCTTAGAACCTCTTTGTGTTGTGCATTAGTGTGTTTTCATGAATAATTGGTTTTTTGCTTACCTATGTATGTAATTCGAAAGACAAAAACTCGCATATACATATGTATGTATGTATGTACATAGTGTGTATGTATAAGAAATTTTAGGATTATTTCCAAGAAAAAAATTTACGCTAGTTGATATCTATTGCTTACTATTCTGCATATGTGTGGGAAAAATATCGATAATTTCTATGAATATATTGAAAACTCTCCACAGTCGCTATGGTGAGTGGTAAGTAATGCATACTATCACTCCGTAGGACATGGGTTCGATCCTTGTTCCGAGCAACATCTTCACCCTTGTGGTCAACTGATTAAGTTAAGTGATATTTTAACCAGTTTTAACTAGTTTTCTTACCGACTATAAACGTGAAATAAAAGTATTTTATCATACCAGTAGAGAGCTGAGACTAAATTTTACCCTAAAATAATATTTTTGTATTTTTTTTTTTATTATTTTTAAGACTTTTAGATTAGACTTTTGTGAGGGTATACCTTAGAATGGAATCCTAGGTACAAATCACATTTTATATACGAATTGTATGAAAACTCATAGAATATTTATCAATACAACAGACACTCAAAATAAAAGCATTCGATTTGTTAACAAATAAATAACGGGTTAATATGTCAAAAGAAGGTAATTTTTATATAAATTCCTTCAAATGCCCATAAGTACATCCATGACAAAATCACTGAAAGGCAGTCTGACGTTTGCAAACAATTAAATTTTAAAGTTCAGAACTGAGTTTAGGTTCCCATTTTCAATCGAAAACTACAACCATTATGAACACATTATTTTTTTTTTTAATTTTTAATTTTTTTATTTTAAATGCTTGCACATGCCAGAAAAAAATCATGGCTCACGAATTGAGACAATGTTTTTAACATGTAATTTTTTTTTATCACGGTTACATCTGAACTTATGTTTCTGTTAAAAATTGTAGTTCTCATGTTTCTGCACACAAGGGTTAATCATGCGTTTTCAAACTCAAAAAGCAGTAGGTACTCACCCTCGGACTGTGTAGATGCTGTATTCGATTTGCAAACTGTGCTATTGTTGTTGTTGAGGTCTTCCAGACTAAAGTATCCACAAGCGAGTGCTCTGACACGCCCGGACATAGAATAGTAACATTCTTTCCAGCTTCAGCGACCACATTGACGTATTCCAAGTTTGTCACATCTGAAAAGAGAAAATTAAAAAAAGCATTGGGTAAAATGATATAGATACGGGTATAATTATTTAAATTTTGTGAAAAATTAGGGCATAAATACATATGTATGAATGTAATAGTTTATTTCCAACAAGTCTTAACTGCAGTTTATGCCTATTGGATAACGGAGATTATAGCTCCTAGCTAGGGAGTAATTACTCCTACAGCGTACAAGGCAACTAAAGTCAAAAAGCAAAAAATAAAATGTAAAATAAGCTTTACCGATCAGCCCATGTTAAAATTTTTGGAACTTACCTCAGCTCTTAATAGGAGCTAAGCTTCTGATGGAAAAATTAAAAAGCTAATTGAATTAAAAAGTTTTGAAGCAGTAAAGGTTAAGCTACATAATATTTCTTGTTTCAATATTAAATATTTCATTACAGGAAATTTTAACATGTGTAGATTAGATTACGGTGGTCGTTCCTAGTGGGGACACAAGTGGATATTATAGAGGCTATGCGTATTGATATCACCTGATTTTAAATGGGAGCCACTACTCAATCGAAGAAACGCGGCGAGTGTATGACGAAGTTAGGTCACAAGAATTATCCAGAGTTGGCTGTAGATGGGAGGAAGGGTGGAATAAAGTAAATTGTTAAAGTGATGCCAACGACAGAAACGATCAACTGTGATTTTTGTTGTAATGGGGTGTATTCCGATCAGCAATTGATGGTCGAGAATGATTTACATCAGCCGCTCTTAGCCCATTGATATCGTTTTAAAGGAAAAGTTTCTTATCAGCAATACTAAGGCGGTCGGGCATCTATATGAGTCTAACTGGAAAATATTCGGATGTAGTTAGGAGGAGGGTTAAGTACTGACTGACCTATTTTGAGCTGCCTTACTGCCAGAGTAAGTACTTATTTACTTAGTTAATTATTGATTATTGAAAGGCAGATACCTCTGCTAAAAAAAAACACCGCATTAGTAAAGCCATGCTAGTAACGATACCTTCCTATTTAGGAATAGCCCAGAGTATTTGACACAACGAACGATGGCCTAAAAACAGAAAGCTCTGCTTTTCATCAGATGGGCGACCGTCTGCTTTTAAGGAGTCTTTGCGGGCTTGATCTCTCTAGAGTGCCTCTGCATGTAGAACTGAAAGCTTAGATAAATTCAACCAAGAAGTCTACGTAAGCTACCGAGCTCTGTTTTGATGCGACAGGCAGGGCGAGATGCACATTTCGGCTGCGCAAATTCATGTTCGTATCTTTACAATATGTACTACATATGTACATAAGGGCGGTCAATTTGTATGGGAGATTTTTTCTTGCCATGAGCGTATAACACAGAGCATTCTTCATGTGATTCTGAGAAAATTTGCCAAAGAAACTATGGGTCCTAAATCTCTTTAAAGTTTGCTAAATTGCCAAAATAGGTTTCTTAGCTTTTTGCTGTAGTGTCGCAAAGAAGTGCTTAAATTTTGCAAAAAAATATGCTTTAAGAGGTTTTCTGTTATGTATGTAGAATCCATTCCTGCACTTCCCTTTTTTTTAAAACTTCCACCAGAAGGCAACAGTGACAAGTGAGGGCAAACTTTGAACTGATTTAGGACTCGTAGTTTCTTTGACAAATTTGCTCAGAATTACACGTAGAATCCTCCTAAGCCATACGCGTGTAGTAAATAAAAATGGAGCTGCCCTAGAATACATACTTATGATTCGAAAAGAAGCGATGCGAGTGAAGTTAAGGAGTAGCAAAAGACAGTGGAGCCTTTCTCCGATTCCATTTAAATGCGTAGATCTCAGCTCATTACACTGCACGGCAAATCCAACTTTTTTTCTGGGTATTGGACCAAACCAATTTTTTTTTTAAGATTGAGTCATAGGTAAAAAACTTATATATAAGTTTTTTTTTGTGCAAACTTATATTGCAGGTGTTGTAAGGGGAAAAAGTTCAGGTCTTCAATATATTTAATTCCTTATATTTCAAACACTTTTGAACTGATTAAAAAAAAAAGAAATATATCATTGTAAAGGTGATTAAACCCCCTTTCTTTCGATATACATATTGGTATATAAAAATTTGAGAAAAACAATAATAAAAATATATTAAACAAAAAAATTACTAACCAATTTTTTAATTTTTAAAAGGTTGGCATCGTTGTAAAGGCGATTAAATCGCCTTCCTTCTGAAATGCATATTTGTATACTTCGTATATAGAGATTGGTGGAGAAAATCACTTAAAAGGAAAAAATACCAATTTTTTCCAAAGAGTTACAAGTTTTTTTAGCTAAAATTTTATGCACCCTCGCACGTGGTAAAACGTCATTAAAACCGCTGCTAAATTTTCCATGAAAATTTATATACTTACATATTTGTATACTCAATAATTGCACGCGCAACTCCAAAACCAGCAACAAATGCCATCCACCTACACGCCGATACCTAACTGCCGCTGCTATGAAAACTCGAACGAAATTAATGCTCATACAATACCTGTCATCAGGTGATTGCCGAAATGCGCGTTGAATTCATTCAGCTTTCATTGTGGAATTTGCCAAATTTTGCGCTGTTGCCTAATATTTTTTTGTTTTTTTATTTTATTTTGTTTCACGTAAATTTTTGGGAATTTGCCACACGAATTTCAGCAACATTTTGGCCACATTTCACAACGAAATTCAAAATTCGAAAGCCAAAGCATTTTGCATATTATTAACTAAATAACCAAATGTGCTACCAAAACTAACTGACTACGCCATTGTCCTTGATGTAGTTATTGTGCTGATGTCGCTTTTGCCGCCTGGTGCTTGGTGCCTGCCGCCTGCCGCCTGCCGCCTGCTATCTGCTGACTGCGGTTGAGTTCCATGTAATTTATGGCTTCGTACGAAAAATGCTGAAACTGCCAAATGCCAGATGTGGTAGCTGGGTGCGTTGTCTCGCAGCGTGACAGCTGGAATGCCACCCATCTGCAAAGGTGTGCCGTACCGAAATGGCGTTGACGCGGAGGGGGAGTTCGCTGTTGATTTGCTTTTGGCTGTGCGATTTTGTAAATTTTATGAATCGTGCAATCTGATGAGTGGCCGAGTTTAATTTCCTGATCATTTTTTCAATTTAAAATCTTCACGCAACGCCGTCAGTGCCCCTGCTCGTTGCTGTGTTCACAGTGATGAGCTTTCCGATTGATATTTTTTTACATGTCCATGGTGGTTGCGCTGCGTCGATATGCCGAAATTGGAATGTCTAGCGCTTTGTCATTGCGGCCAGCATAATTTTGAAACTCGAATTTCCAAAAACACATCTCAGTACGCACATCTGTTCATGATAATGTGTCACTTGTCATATGTTCATTATCGCTGCTCAAACGCGACACACCGCCACTCCCGCACCGGATCAATCACCCGCCCCCCCTCCCACCACTATGTGGCGGCCGTGCAACATTCGAACCACAAACATTTCGCCAGAGCTTTCACTGTGATATTACCAAAAGTTTATTTTAGCAGCCCATTTTTGGTGTAAAGTTAGTTGCTTCTGCCATTCACCAACGCCAATATGTGCGTTGTTGTGGGTATTTGAAGTTGATTGTCGCTGTCGTTGGGCTCATTGGTTCATTTGATATAATTTTGTTGCTTTTTTTTTGCTAATTTTTTTGCTACCCTTTCTGCTTTTTCTAATTACTCATCGCAGTTTTGCGCGTCAATTTTATACTCATTAGTGCCGAATCGCTGTGCATAGGATATTGCAGTTACAATTTTTTTGTGTAGTTGAGTGTTTTGGGAATTTTGCAAATTCAGTTTGTGATAAGCGTTTATTTTCGCGAAATAAAATTGGAATATTTCAGGTGGATATACATAAATACATACATATGCATGTACATACGTAATTTAAATACATTTACGGATAGCGAAAATTTTTGGCTGCGATTATGCTTCCCGTAATATTTTCTCTAAAAAAATATGTACTACACTCCCATGCCTAGTATAGTGTCCACACACTCCAGAAATGGGTCAGAGAAAATATAATGCAATTTGGTAGCCGGGTAAAAATGAACACGAATCACACGAATTTTTTCTGAAGCACCAGCTCTCTTAATGCTTAGTTCCCTAATGCATTACATGTCTTTCAAACCATCGAGTCGAAAGTGGTTCCACTTATTTGGCTAGCGCCTCTTTAGGGCAAGCACCTTTTTGATGCCGACCCCTAGCAACGTTACTGCGGGCGGCTGAGTCGAGTAGCGAACCCTGCCAATTTAAGTTGAAGTTACGAAAACGCTTGTCAAAACTCGCTTTTCGTTATTGAGGCTTTCTCTCTCCCTGCAGTCATCAGAAACTTTTAGAAATGAAACTTCTAAATCTAGAAGAATTAAACAAGTGGTCCCACAGATGGCGCTCCGTCCCCGATTTTATATCTCGAAGCTTTCTTAGCCACCGAAAGCAGTTTGCCTGATCTCATAGGCTGGCGACTGTTCGATATTGGCTTCGAGAAATGGAATTGATGAATTCTGCTCGAAAGTAACCGGCTAGTTCTCGGTGAAATCAACGGAACTGGGTCTAAGGAGTTCAAGCATCAATTAGGTATCCACGTCGATGGCACATCAGCTCAAAAATTCCTGAGCGTTACCTTTAATAGCTCGCCAAACTGCTTCGCGCAAACAACCGCAATTGTCAACAAAGTTCAAATCCGCAACAATGGCCTCAAGTCGCTCGCCGGCCACACCTGGGACAAAGAGAAAGTGATGTTGCTTGCAACATGAATGGCAACTAGTCCGCCGGTTCTGAATTGGCCTGCACCTATTTCGTTGTAGCGAACTAGCTGGCAGCGGCGGGCGAAGCTATTAACTTGCCAAAACGCCGCACTCGGTATAGTGACAGAATGGATTCTGATGTCGCCAGAAAATCACAGCGAGGCCCAAATGCTCCCACTAAGGGGGTACAACATCATGCTCAACAGGCAGTTTTTTGTTGCATGATATAAACCCGAGCACAGGAACAGTAATTTCCTTAAGGAGAAGCAGCCACCTAGCACGTAA